ATGGTTAGGAAAATATTTTTGATCAATGAGTATTCATTACTTTCTAATATGTTAGAAAACGTTGAAGCTGTCTTTAGAAAGTTTAAAAATCCTCAGGAAAGCCATGAGCAAAGACTGATTTCATAGTTCTCTACGAATTGCTGGGCCATTCCCTGCTTTAGAAGAAGTAGCACTCCAAAGGCTCACCTGTGCCAAAAATCGTGCTGGAAGTTATACATCCTGGCTGGTGGGTCTTATCTTTTTCTGCTTAGACTGGCAAAGGCCATGAATGAGCAGGTGACACGAGGCTTTGGAAGGGGGCAACCACCTTCACAAACAACTTAGAATATCTTCCACTAAACTTAGAAAGATTTATTGGCTTAGTTTAGAAAGTGTGACAATTACTGAAAACTATATATCACTATGGATATTCAAAAGCTCCAGAATAAAAGGAAGAAACAACATATGAGGTCTGTCCAGAAAATGTCCAGCCATTGTTAATATAACGAGAATTGTTTCTGGGATATCAGTGTAACCTGTCAACCAAGGAGACTGGACTGGAATGGTGGAATGTGCATGTGTGAAAAATGGCAGCTTCACTGTACTAGTCAGTGGGGGGATAGATGCCATTGAGTGAGCATGTGTACTGTGTGTCCATCACATTCAAAATGACTGAGCAAGTAGTGCAACAAATCTGCATCAAATTTTGTGTTAAACTTGAACATTTCTCTGCAGAAACTATTTTGATGGTTCAGAAGGCTGCAGCTATGGGCAACTGGTGATTGGCAGCTTCATCACAACAAAATGTTTGCTCATGTATCACATCTCATGCACAGTTTTTGGCAAAACATCAAATCACCCAGGAGATTCAGCCCAGATTTGGGGCCTTGTGACTTCTGGCTTTTCCCAAAGCCAAAATGAGCTTTGAAAGGGAAGTGATTTCAGACTTTTGTTGAGATTCATGAAAATCTGATACGGCAGCTGATGTTGACTGGGAGAACTGTGTGAGGCTCTAAGGTGCCTACTTTGAAGGAGACTGCGGTGACATTGCCCTATGTACAATGTTTCTTATATCCTGTATCTTCTATAAATGTCTCTGTTTTTCATATTACATGGCTGTATTCCTTCTGGACAGACCTCATATATCTCTCCTTAAGAACCATGTTTAAATGTTTTTAAAGTTGAAAGTTTTGAAAAACTTTCTAAAAAGGGGTCTCTTAAAAGGCAGGGAAATGAACCTACCCTAATAGTTAATATTTAAAATTGAGTATTTCAAAATGGTTTTGGTTATAAAGAACTGGAAAGAGGAGAGTAAAGTAATTAGGAGGCGAAAAAAACTGTTTCCTGACTGGAAAAAAGTCAACAACATGTTGTGACACGTGCACTGCATATTTGAAATCTAATTCTCTCTCTGTTAAGTCATACTTGATGGCTGTGAGATAGAAAACTTGAGCGTTAAAAAAAAAAAAAGAACTAGCCCTGGCTGGTATAGCTCAGTGGATTGAGCACAGGCCTGCAAACCAAAGCGTAGTTGGTTCAATTCCCAGTCTAGGGCACATGCCTAGGTCCCCACTAGGGGGCACGCGAGAGGCAACCCACATTGATGTTTCTCTCCCTCTCTTTCTCCTTCCCTTCCCTTCTCTCAAAAACTAAATAAATAAAATCTTTTTATAAAAAAAGACTAGATTGTAGACATTGAGAGTACTAGAAAGGTATGTGAGAATACTTAATAAATAAGGAATAGCAATTTTTTCTGTAGTAAGTTGTAAGCAAGAACTTCCAATGTTCAAGTTGCCTTGAAGTCCAAAATGTCAGATTCATGAGAGAACAACTTTTGACTTGCGTGTGTGGGTATGTATTCATGTTGGGAAGTTTTGTACCTGAAGCTTATGTAAAGGAAGACACTTATGCTTCCTTTTTTGCCAAAATGAGTAATCAGGGATATGAGATTTAGAGATCGAAGTTGTTACTGATTGTGACATTTTAAAAAAATATATTTTATTGATTATGCTATTACAGTTGTCTCATTTCCCCCCTTCATTCCCCTCCACCCACACACCCTCTCCCACCCACATTCCCCCCCTTAGTTCATGTCCATGTGTCATAAGTTCTTTTTCTTATACATTTCCCATACTGTTCTTGCCTCCCCCCCATCTTTTTTCTACCTACCATCTATGCTACTTATTCTCAGTACTTTCCCCCTTCTCTCCTCCTCCCACTCCCCTGTTGCTAACCCTCCATGTGATCTCCATTTCTGTGGTTCTGTTCCTGTTCTAGTTGTTTGCTTAGTTTGTTTTTGTTTTTGTTTTAGGTGTGGTTGTTAATAATTGTGAGTTTGCTGTCATTTTACTGTACTTTTTTTTTTATCTTCTTTTTCTTAGATAAGTCCCTTTAACATTTCATATAATAAGGGCTTGGTGATTATGAAATCCTTTAACTTGACCTTATCTGAGAAGTACTTTTTGTGCCTTTCCATTCTAAATTAAAGCTTTGCTGGATAGAGCAACCTGAGATGTAGGTGCTTGCATTTCATGACTTGGAATACTTCTTTCCAGCCCCTTCTTGCCTGTAAGGTCTCTTTTGAGAAATCAACTGACAGTCTGATGGGCACTCCTTTGTAGGTAATTGTCTCCTTTTCTCTTGCTGCTTCTAGGATTCTCTCTTTCATTTTAATCTGGCTAATGTAATTATGATGTGCTTTGGTGTGTTCCTTCTTGGATCTAACTTCTTTGGGACTCTCTGAGCTTCCTGGACTTCCTGGAAGTCTATTTCCTTTGCCAGATTGGGGAAGTTCTTTATTATTTGTTCAAATAAGTTTTCTACTTGTTGCTCTTCCTCTTCTTCTTCTGGTACCCCTATAATTCAGATGTTGGATCATTTCAAGATGTCCTGGAGGTTCCTAAGCCTCTCCTCATTTTCTTGATTTCTTATTTCTTCATTCTTTTCTGGTTGTATGTTTTTTTTTTGTCCTTCATTTTTTCATCTAATTTGCGACCAAAATCAACCAATTCTGTGAGCATCCTGGTCACCAGTGCTCGGAACTGTGCATCTGATAGGTTGGCTATCTCTCGGTCACTTAAAAGTACTGGTTGTGGACCTTTCAATTCTGTTTGAGCCATCTCCCCCCACCCTTTGGTCTTGTCGCGCTTTTTACATATGAGGGGCAGAGCCTTAGGTGTTCACCAAGGCAGGGTACCCCAGTTGCTGGGATGTGATGTTGTATGTGGGGCCAGGATCTGAGAGGGAACAATGGCATTTGTTCTGCTCTCCGTCAGACCTCAGTCCCTTCCTCTGCCTCCCCCGAGCAAACTGGGCCCCTCTGGTGCCAATTCCCATGTGGGTGAGCTTGTGCACCCCGTGGGACTTTCCAAGGACCTCTCCTGTGAGGCTGGGAGTCTTGCCCTGTTCCTCAACCCCCACAGGTGTTTTCATTCAGTGGCCCAACGCTCTATTTCCCAGCGCTGGGATCCTGGGTTGCGCGCAGTGCCTTGCTTCACAATCACCGCCTTGCTGGGTCTGCAGGTTGCCACCTCTCAGCTGGGGTCTGCCAGCTGCTGCTTGCATGCTCAGTGTCCACCTGCTGCGGTCTTGTGCACCCTGGATGCCTTACGTGCCCGGTCTCAACTCTCTCTGCTCTCCGCTTCAACCCAAGCCTGGTGGCCCGACTCCACCCTTCCTACCGGTCTGGATGAAAGTGTCTATTTTAACTTCTTGGTTGTCCGACTTCCATTCAGATGAATTTTCTGTCAGTTCTGGTTGTTATTCTGTTTCTAAATTATTGTTGTCCCTATCTTGGTTGTGCAATGAGGCACAGTGTGTATACCTATGTCTCCATCTTTAATTGTGATATTTTTACCTTTCATGAAATATTATTCTTAACCTTATCTTTTAAAAATATCTGTGTTGTTAATCACCAATGTTTAGCTAATTGTCATGCTGTGTCATTTTTACAAGTACTTGAGTTTTGGAGAAACCAGGTAAGTTGGTTGGTAAGAAGAGAAGAGCTTAGCCAATGGCCATTAGCTTTTCTTAGCTGATGGTGGCTGTTTTGGCTACAGATCAGTGGAGGAGACAATACCCTCTGACTAGGAATGATGAGGCTCTGTCCATGGACCTGGAGCTTATGTAGAGCTGCCTGCCACCTTGCTGTTGCTTCCGAGAGGCAGAACTCACACTGATTTTCCCAGAGAAATGCAGAGACCAGACAAGGGAATTGTTGGCCTATTGGTTCACATTAATTTACCAAACATGTCTGGTTTGGGAACTTGATGCAGTTTTGGCCTTTGAGTAGAGGATCAGGGTGATCATTGTCCTGTGTTTTGGAATTCAAATGTAGCATAGGCAAAATAACCACAGAAGGACATCCTGAAATGTAGAAGAAGAATAATAAATTGTTACCTGACTGCACTGCAGATCATCTACAATACTACATTTCCTAACATGGTGCAGCCATTGTATTGGATTATCCCATGTGAGAATTTATATGTTGCCTGTTGCATATCACAGGTCATTGAGTAAGGGCTGGGTGACACCTGAAGATACCACCAAGTGATGGAAGAAAGAAGGAGGCATTCTTAAGAACTCACACCCTCTGTGCTTATTCAGGTCTTTAAATTCTTTCAGTCATAAACTTGGTGAGCTCTGCAGCTACCACAGCTCATTCTTGGAGCTGAGACTGAACCTCATTGTTCTCAGTGAAGAATTGTGCTATTGTTTTTGCTTTGGTAGAACAGTACCTTTGGAAAGTACCTTATAAAGTGTACATGCTCTTTTGTCTGCAAGGATTTGTTTAATTCTGAAAATGAATGAAGGTAAACCAGGAAGTTTCCATACCTATAATAAGAGCAACTAGTCTTTTAAAAACATCAACACAATTAAATGTGAAGGTCTTGAACATGAAAATCTTATTTTATTAATCCTTATTCTCTCTTCAATCTCAAGCACAATGCATTGCATGCAACAAGTACCTGTTGAATGAAATCACTTGTTTAGTCCTTTTCTTTTGGCCCCCTGTATTCAAGGTCCTGTTCACTGGAATGAACTTTTCCCTATTGCTGATGGGGACCAGCAATCCCCAATTGAGATTAAAACCAAGGAAGTGAAGTATGACTCTTCCCTCCAACCACTTTGTATCAAGTATGACGCAAGCTCAGCAAAAATCATCAGTAACAGTGGCCATTCCTTCAACGTTGACTTTGATGACATGGAGGACAAATCAGGTTGGCTTTTTGGGGGTAGAAATGAGGAACTTGGGTGTTTGGATGATACCTTCTTTTCTCTCATATTTGAAACACCTATGCAGTGTATGGCCTTGTTTTTACTTTGCTGGAACTTATAATAAAAGTTCTGTTTGAAGTTCATAGGACAGTGTCTTTTACACTGTCAATAAATAATGGACTGACCAAGTAAAACTTTAGTATTATTTATATATAACAAATTAGCTAAATGAAGTAGAAAAAAGTATTTCCTTAAAATAAATAATCCTTCTTCAAGCAGAGCTACGGTCCAGAGAACTAGATGCTACAGAGTTTAAAAGCAAGATGAAAGATTAGAGAGAATAATATTTTAAGGCTTCTCACAAATTACTTTTACTTTTAGTCTAATATTAGGATGACACTGTAGTTGCCGTACTTGATACACATAGTTAAATTTTTTTAATTCTTAAATGGAAGAAAGTTTTCACTTACTAAGCTCAACTTTGGTTTAATAATTACATAAATATTTCCTATATTAATGTAATGCTATATTGTTAGTAAAAATTATAAGCCCATAAAATTTCTTCCTCATACTTGTCAAATTTGTAAAAGTGATCATTATTATTCAGAGCATTGCAAAAATGCACAAAGATTAACACTTGGTATTTTCAACTTTTGGGGGGAGGAGGGACCTTGCTTTTCATATGTGCAATTGTCTTTTTTATACACTCATTTGAATCTGAGTTAATAGAGATGGTTGATGTAATGGGCTCATAGATGTGGTCATACAATAAGTAGTCCAAGGCTTTCAATATAAAGTTACACCACCCACAGTCATAGCTGGATACTGTTTATAATATCTCACATGTAAAAAAAAAAACTGAGGCTACACTGCTAGTTCTAGAATAAGAAGTGATTAGATTGTACTTCACCATTACTGTCACTGGTCCTAGAGTATGCTCTTTGGTGATTCCCAGGTCACTTCAGTAGCAACCTTGCACTTATGCCAGTGTATTAATTGATTGGTTATTGTCCTAGGTATTGAGGACACAAAGGAACAAGATAGAGCCACCTTAACGGAGTTTGTATCTTAATGGGATAGACAGAAGTTGTATGAAGACACAAATGTGGTGGTTTTTAAATTATTTTTTTTCTGATTGTGTTGCCAGCCTTGCTTACTATTTAAGGCAGCTTACTACAATATAGTTTCAGAAAATGAGTAGGATTTGCAAGTTACTAACAATGTTAAAAGTCAAATGAGAGTTTTCTAGTCTAGCTGGCAGTATAGGCAGATATGGCTCACCTCTTCGCATAACCACATCAAAATTACAACTAAAATATACAAAAACAATCACTCAGAACTGCCAGAAATTGAGTTGAATGGAAGTCTGACAACTATGGAATTGAAGAAACCACATCCATCCAGACTGGTAGGAGGGACATTGATGTGGAACAGTCTAGTCCTACACTGAGTATGGTGGATAAAAATTCGGGGGGCAGGGGGATATCTTGGAAGTGAGGAGTCCTAGCCCCATACCAGGCCACTCAGCCAGGGTTCCAGTGCCAGGAAGGTAAGTCCCCACAACTTCCTCTTAAAGAACCCACCCATGGACTCACCTACTCAGACTCATGCCTGCTGAACTCCAGAACCAGGGTAGCAGCTTAAATGGCACCAGCATACTGGGAAAAATGAAGTATCTGGCATGAAGACAAGCAGTTGTCATTGCCCCTTTTCTAAAACCTACCCAGCAAGCTTGTGCCATATCTGAGATTCCATCAACCTGGTTAATGCTGTTTGATTCACCTTGAAGATCCCCAGAGACTCTGCCCCCACTCAAGCTGCTTTTCCATATGAATGGCTGATCTTGGCTCATGCAGCACAATGCTGTGCAACTTTCTAAATCCTCTCAAACAAGCAACAGCTTGCCTCAGTGAGTCCCAGGTGCTGCAATCTGCGTGGCTGGATCAGTCAGGTCAGGTCCTGAGGGAAGGCAATGGGGGATTAAGAAATAAAGAGACAAAGTCAAAGCGGGGTCAGGTGGAGTCCCTTCTCTGGGATGCAGAGGAGGGAACTGTTTATTGGTGAAGTCAGGCTGTATATATTGAGTAAGCTTTGAAGCGGAGCATGAAAAAGACAAACCGCAAGGCTAGCTACATTTTTTTAAGAATATTTGCTGCTCCTTCTTGGTACGGTGATATAGCAAGCAGCCAAGTCATTCTTTCCTTAGAATAATCTATCAAGCAGTCGTCCATGGCCTAGGGCAGCTGTGCTGAACCCGAGGCCTGCTTCCAACTCCCTTGGCACACATTATCTTGCTTGCCTCTTCACACCCAGGCCTGGGACTAACAGAAGCCAGCCTAGATTCACAGCTTGACTTTGCCTGAAAATCTCCAAGCCCAGCATCCATCTCAGATTGCTTTATAGCTGAGGCAGGGTGTCCGTGGGCAAAACACAGATAGGGGGCTGACGTTGGCCTGCACTACCCAGGAAACCCCAGGGCCAGTGCACCCAGTAGACTGCCTTGTATGTGTTCCAGTGTGCTACATGCCACATCAGAGTACCACCACCCTACTGCTGCACAGCTGATTCTCCTTGGAAGGCAGAGGGTGGTGGTTAGTGGTCACAGCCAATCTTTGCAGCTGATTGGCCTAGGTAAATCCCTCCCATTGATCTGCCAACAGCAACAAAGGCTCAACTACAAGAGGAGGGTGTACTCAACTCACATAAGGGTCGCACCTCGAGTGCCCAGCTTGGGTGATAGGGGAGGCTGTGCCATTGGACCCTACAGGACCTACTACATTAAGCCATACTACCAAGACACAGAGTCAAAGCAGCTCTACCTAATACATAGAAAGAAACACAGGGAGGCTGCCAAAATGAGGAGACAAAGAAATATGGCCCAAGTGAAAGGACAGATCAGACTCCAGAAAAAGAGCTAAATGAAATGAAGATAAGCAATATATCAAATGCAGAGTTCAAAACCCTGGTTATAAGGGTGCTCAAGGGACATAATAAGACCTTAGCGACATAAAAAAAAGATCCAGTCAGAAATGAAGGTACACTAATTGAAATAAAAAAATAATTTACAGGGAAACAACAGTAGAGTGGATGAAGTCAAGAATCAAATCAATGATTTGGAATGTAAGGAAGCAAAAAACAACCAATCAGAAGAACAAGAAGAAAAAAGGATCCAAAAAATGAGGAGAGTGTAAGGAGCCTTTGGGACAACTTCAAGAGGTCCAACATTTTCGTTATAGGGGTGCCAGAAAGGAGATGAAAAAGAACAAGACACTGGAAATCTATTTGGAAAAATAATGAAAGAAAACTTACCTAATTTGGTGAAGAAAATTGACATGAGAGTCTAGGAAACACAGAGTCCCAGACAAGATGGATTCAAAGAGGCCTACTTCAAAACATATTATAATCAAAATGCCAAAGGTTAAAGATCAAGAGAGAATCTTAAAAGTAGCAAGAGAAAAGCAGAGAGTTACCTACAAAGGAGTTCACATAAGACTGTCAGTTGATTTCTCAAAAGAAACTTTGCAGGCTAGAAGGAATTGGCAAGAAATATGCAAAGTCATGAAAAGCAGGGACCTACAGCCAAAATTGCTCTACCCAGCAAAGATAACATTTTGAATCTAAGGGCAGATAAAGAGTTTCCCAGACAAGAAAAAACTAAAGGAGTTTATCATCACCAAACTGTTATTATAGGAAATGTTAGAGGGACTTATTTAAGAAAAAGAAAATTAAAACTATGAACAGTGAAATGGCTAGAATACCTATCTATAAAAAATTGAATGTAAAAATCAAACTAAGCAAACAAGAAGAGCAGAGACAGAATCATGGATATGGAGAATATTTTGATGGTTGTCAGATGGGAGGTGGTGTGGGAGGATGGTTGAAGAGGTGAAGGGATTAAGAAGTACAAATAGGTAGTATCAAATAGTCATGGGGATGTACCATACAGTATAGGAAATGGAGCAACCAAAGAACTTATGTGCATGACCCATAGACATGAACAATGGTTGGGGGATTTCCTGAGGGAGTAGGGGTGCTTGGTGGAGGATGGCAAAGGGGGAAAATCAGGATAACTATAATAGCATAATCAGTAAAATATAATTTTAAATAAATAAAAAGAAAAAGTCAAATGCAATCGAGTACCACACATGTTTTTAGTATCACAACATTGTTGAACTTTGAGGCATATAGCAAATAACAGTGACCCTTCTACTATGATATTACATGTTTCCCAATCTTTTGTGGCATTTAACCCTGGTTTCTTAACCTGTGTAGCCCTATTTATCTGAGTGCATTATTTGAAATAGATTTTTTTTAAAATTCTGAATAAAATGGTAAGTGAACTCTATATGTATGCCAAGTGTGATTTTGGAGAAATAATTTCTTATTTTTAGGCTTAAGATGGAGTCAGTGATATATATTTACTTATCTAGGCTGGATAATAAGATGAATTGACACTTGACAGCACTAAATAATTCTCACTAAAAATAATGTTGCCACCATTATTTATTTTATACCATAGTTTAACTGTTTTATTACAAACTATCTCAAAGTTAGTCCTGAGTTAACCATGATATTTTGACTCATTTTCCCCACCCTGTACAAAGCCCTGCTCTGAGAGGTAGTCTTCACATTAGGCATTTTCCAGTCATGGTCATAAGTTGGATATTTTAGAGGAAACACTCACATGTGGAGTCCAGTTATGTAAAGTGCCAGGCAAGTTTTTCTGCGTAACTAAGTGGAGCTGTGCTAATCTGAGTTTAAACTCTGGATTCAAAGCAGGCTTGCCAGAGATCAGCCATGATGCTTGGACTTTCCTCTGATGATGTGTTTTTTTTGGTATCACAGTGTTTCTCCAGAGCCAGCTTGTTCATGTGTTCTCCCAAAGTCAATTCCACACTGATTACTTGATCCAATCTAATACAGGTTTTAGTTGTGAAATGGTGAATTTCTGGCTCAGCTCAGATCTTATTGTGTCACAGAAAAGAAAAAACAGGACAACCAATGTGTTGATTTCACTTAACAATTGGTGCATCCGGGCTGTTTGCCATCACTTAGGAATATGTACCTTTCAAGTTATTTATCTGTGAACCATCTTGGAGAGCTGGGCTGCTCCATGGAGTTCACGATGAACCCTGCATATCATGTCCTTATGCACAAAGTGTGACATCCTCCAGTAAGCAGAATAAATTCTTAACCACATGTTCCATACAACCCATATTTTGAACTCTCTCACTTTTTAAAATGTTTGTTTTCACTCTTCATACACTTAAAAGTTGGATGCTTGTCAGCAAACTCAATGGCACATTTGTAAAACATTCCTCGGAGGACATGGGCATGTTGAGCAATTCAGGGAGATATTGTGGGTTGGGGAGCACACAGAAACACTTTATCTTGTTAACAATTTAAAATATGTTCATGTTTAGTTCTGCATGGGGGCCCACTCACTGGAAAATATAGGTTGCGACAATTTCACCTGCACTGGGGGTCTGCTGATGACCACGGCTCGGAGCATGTGGTGGATGGAGTGAGGTATGCTGCCGAGGTAAGCCATCCAGTGCAGGTTTATGACTCAGGGATGTCCTTTCTGGTGGGAGGAAAGGGACATGGAGAATGACTTACTCGACCCCCAATAGGTTCCAAGCCTATTAGGTATCTCAGTCTATGAAATTGCTTTATTCCATCAGTATAAAAGTTTGTCAGTGTAAGAGCTGTGAATGGCCCTTCCCAGCCTTAGAGCAACTCTGAGAGTTGGGGTCTTGTGCCCATTGTAAAAATGAGCAAACTAGACACTAGGGGAGATTAAGTAACTGATCCAGGAAGCATCAGGTCTGTCTGATACCAGTTATAGACTCTACAATGTTTGTCCTATTTCCTGAAAGACCAGTGAGAAGGGAAATGTTTGTCTTAGGTCCAGATGTGTGCATATTTGGTCTAGACACAGATATATGCTTATATCAGATAAAGTCCATATTACAGAGGTGAAAATAAATGGCAAAGCTCCTCTTAGAGAAAAAAAACAAAGACATGAACTCTTCAACCCTCCATTACCTCTACATTTACAAGTATGAAATGGGATCTCTGTGAATCATTTAGTTGCCAGTAAAACAGAACACAATAAAGTGTCTCTGACTTCTTTTTCACTGGGAAGTTGCTCTTTCTTTTTATGATTATATTCATTAAGCATATTCTACTTTTTCTAATCCTCTGGCTAAAAGAAAAATCATACTATGCTCAAGTTTTAATACAGTTAGATACTGTTAACCCCTAACTTTACCATGAGACTGAGATACAAGTGAATTATCATATGACTCAGCTAAGGCTATTTCAGAGAGAATCATATAGCCTGAGGGCCATCTAGGCAGACAGAGGATGTTCCAGGCAGGTTCCTTCATTTTCTCAGGGTTACTGAACTTAGAAGTTAAACCCTGCTTTGTAGCACATGTACATGTGCTGTTTGGGGCTATTAACCAAAGGTCCACTTGCCTCCTGAAGCAGTTTGTTTGAGACCAGGGTCTCCCAGTATGGGAACTACTCTGTGACAATGAACAGAGATGTCCAGAATGTGGAAAGTGGGACCCTGAGTCCGTATGGTGCCTCAGTTTATATTGTCAGGTAGTTTTTATGTTTGCTTTTGTAAAGTGTTGTGTCTAAACTTAACATATTCTACACCTCAAAACCTTTTGTGGGGCAGAAGAGCTCTGGCTTTGAGTCACTGACTTTTCATTTTCTGAAGCAGGTCTGGAAAAGTGTTTCCATCTTCCACACACTTGAATGTGAACACTCAGGGAGGTTATTCTGAGTTGACATGGTCTCCCAAGAATGACCTCATTATCCTTAGTTGTGCCTAGAGGCTCAGAATTCTGACTTGCAAGGACTCTTTGTGGGATTCCTTTTGAAGTGGGTAAGACTTTAACTGGAATTGCGTACTGGGCTTTAATGTACATTAGAAGATTTTTCTTGTTTCATTAGTTCATTTGTCTCTGAACTCCTGCATTCCTTCATTTACTCCAAGAACTCATTGAGATTCCAGTCATCCCCCACCTTTGCCCAGCTTTCTGTGCTTGTCCCAAAGGGAGTGACTGGCAGAAGTGGGGATGGGCAGGGATGCATTCCCTTGGAAAAGCAGGAGTGAGACAGGCAGTGGGACAGACTGCAGTGGGCTTGCCCAGAATCATGTGTGACTCAGGCTGGGAGAAAGTCCATACACTGGAAAGAGAGAATGCAGTGTGATTAGAGCACAGACCATAGTGGGTGTGGCAGAGGCTCAGTGGCTGAGGTTGGTAGGGCTGTGAACTGTACTAAGTCACTGACTGTCTTTAAATTGCACCTATTTTTGCACTTAAAAGATTTGAATGGTATTTTAAAGTGAAAAAATGATCACAGCTCTGGGGGAGTCCAGGTGACAGTGCTGGTGGCCAGATGGCTGGTAAGAGGTGCAGGATCCATGGGATCCATTGGTTGATGGGATTTGAGGGTGACAGAGGAAGGAGGCAGGTGTATGCTGTGACATAGGGATGCTGCTAGAGAGGGAGAAATCTGGTGACAGCTCAGGGTTGGCATGCTGCTACAGGTAGACAGTAACCACATGAATGGTAAAGGGTAAATTCTCTGACAGGAGCATTACCATGTGATCCTGTAGAGTGGCTGAGTGCTTAGGAAGGGTCCCTTTGAGACGCTATATGAATTGAGACAGAATGACCAGAAGCCACTCTGAGAAAATCCAGCAAGAGAGAGAATAGTAGGTACAGGTGCTCTTGGGCAGGAATGAGGTTGGCATTTTTGAGAAGACAAAGTTGTTGGCTTCTAGGATTGGAATTAATGGGATAAAAATCATAGCCATGTCCTAGAGATGAAGATGGAGCCATGCCATGTCAGCTGTGTAGGGCCCAGCAAGCAGTTAGGGTTAACCATCTGAAACATTCATAAAGGTGTAGCAGGGAAAAGACAATGGGAGATTTTGAGCAGGGGGGTGACAGTGCTATGCTCTACATTTTATAAACACAACTAGCTCTCTGTGGAGAAGAGGCTGGACTAACTGGGAACTCTGGAGACAAGATTAGAAGGTTGTGGAAGCAGTTTTTCCAGCTACTTTTGTACCTGACTTCAGGACCATCATCATGTTGTGTCCTCTTAATAAACAGAAAAGAAAAAAGAAAAAGAAAAGAAAAAACAAAAGGAAAACACCATTTAAAGCTGTAACATATTAAAATTTGATTTGGAGCCAAATCTGATGGCTTGTGATGCTATAGACAGATTGACGGAATGTAAATCCTAAAAAGCTTTATTCCAAGAGTTACACTTCTAGGAAAAGTAAGCTAACAGTCACAGCATGTTTGGAACTTGATCTGATTACAGTTTATGCCTAGTATACATAAGTATGTTAAATATGTAGTTGAGCGTAAAATTATGTTTTCAACATTATGGTGATTTTTGGCATACTAAGCATATTCTGTGTCAATAATACAGTTTAAAAATACTCAAGGTGAATGATACTGTTATTCAGAAATTGTTTTCAAATAGGGGAGAATCTTAATCATTTCTATTTTTGCATTGGCTACAATAACTTCTTGTCCTATAGCTCAAATCATTTCAGCTTTCAGTGTTAGTCAGGAAATGTGAGTTGGCTCTTTCTCAGTTCAAACACAAATGCTAATGGGGGTGACACCAGCTCCTCTGAAGGTATTGGAGACAGTTAAGCAAGGTATGTGGGAGAGAGAAGGACTCATTTAAAACAAACAAAAGATTTTTCTTGCTCTAGTTTCCCATAATGTTTCAAACAGTCGTTGCTCTTGAACCAGTGGAAGGATATAGGTTCTTCTCTCTTTGGTTACATGTTCATTTTCTAATCAGTGGTGGTCATGAAGTAAGAAGTTGCTTCCCATGTTTCTGTCTGTGGTGTCATCTCTTACCAAGTGTGCTAGTGCATGGGCATCAACATTGACATCCTTTCCTAGCCCTCCTGGTGGAGCATTACCTATCTTCTGTGAGCTGAGTGGAGTGTGTTTCATTATCCAGTATCTCAGGGTTTCTTCCTCCCACTGTCTCACAACTTGGAAGATGGAAAACACTGTCTCTCTGTCTGGGTAGCCAGTCTTCCTCCACTGTTTGGGGTGGGGAATGTGCACTGTTTCATAGTTTTATAGTTCACTGCTTATAGTCATTCTTCATTATTCAGAAATCCCCCATATTAGTTGCCCATAAGATGTAATTTATATTTAAAGAATGAGATAAAAACATGCCTGAGTATGCTAAATTCTCTAACAGTTAGCTAGAAAGGTGATTTGTGCCTGAAGCCCTTCATGTTTCCTCCCTGAAGGGCCAGAGAAGTCACTTGAAGGATGTCTCATCTAAACTGGTCCCTCTCACAGGTCCTTGGACAGCATGGCTTGGTCATGACCTTGGCCACATCATTGGGATGTGTCACATTGTCCTGTGGCTTCCATTTCAGTTTGTCCTTTCCTTAACCAGGAATGCAGGCTTACCAGGAATGGCTATCTGCCTTAATGTGTACTATTCTGTAGCCTGTCCTCTTGTCCATATCTTTAGGATACTGTGTTGCATATGGTGGGAGGACATGTGGACACCTTTGGGTTTGGCAGAAGGCCAGATGCAGTGGGGATGAGTTTGGAAGTTGGTGAAGCCACTTTTCTAGAGTTCCAGGTTCTCCACTGCCCACCTCCCCTTCTTTCTCCCCCTTCCTCAGTAGGAGCAGCTGCCTCTCCTTTTCTTCCTCTGACACTGCTGTTTCCAGGACCCAAAGCCTCTTTTTCCCTATTAAAATGTGACCTTAGTAAAGAATCTGAACATAGTCCAAGAAGGTAGTAAGTATGTGAATACTACTTAAAATAGTTACTCCTGTGAGGAATTCACATTTTCAAGTCATAAAAAGTCTTTAGCTACAGTGATGAGCATCTGACTGGGCAGTCCCAAGAACCACTGGCACTGTCCTCATGGCAGGATTGTCCCTGGGTACCCACTGACCTTCCCACCTGCCTCTCAGCCTTGACTCTGCCACTAGCTGGGGTCTGATCTCAGGCTGCCCGATCACAGTCCTGGGTGTGGGATATGTGGGAGCCCTAAGTCACTTCAGAACAATGGCTGAAGACTGTTTGGGCTCCAGGGGTGTGGCAGGAAGCTTTGTAGCCCTTCTAAACAGCAATGTAGACATGAATGTATATAGTACATTATACATATAAATGCACAGCCCCAGAACATCTGTATATATGCTTCATTTACATTTATGTTTTTGAGAATGTTTTAAAAAAATAATGTTGGAGTGAAGCTGTGTTCTTCCTTCTCAGCTCCATGTTGTTCACTGGAATTCTGACAAATACCCCAGCTTTGTGGAGGCAGCTCATGAGCCTGATGGACTAGCTGTCTTGGGAGTATTTTTACAGGTGAGAACCCACTGGTTTCATTTGAAATAATTAATCAACTGTGTCGGGTAGAGTTACAGTCATGGAGCAGACATTCTACTATTTTTTAATAGCAAACTAGTTCTAGGTTTAATGTTTTTCTTGTGAAGTGGATATTAAAATTCTATATGTTTATAGTTCATCTCAGGGCCCAGAACTGCCCTGGGAACTTTGTCTTATGATCCCTCCTGTTGTCCACTGATCATTTTTATTGACTAGCAGCAACAACAGTAGTGCCCAAAGGAACAACTAAGCCCCCAAGAAGGAAATCTTTATTCTAGGTTCTTCTGATTGCACAGCATTTAGAGACATAGGGGAGAGTGGAGCTTAACTCCCTGATTCTTGAAGCACTGGTTTGACCACAATGGCTTATTGTCCCAAATGCAATGACCATTTTTTTGGTTGTATTTTTTTGTGTCTTATTCACATGTGGTCAGACAGGTGTTGCTGTGGTCATACCTGTGGGTGGGTGCGGTCACTCTACTCCTACTGGGACCACATTCTTGTAGGGTGTTCCTTTTTGTTCCAACACCCACTCTAACAGGAAAGAAGTACATATATTTTTCTGAGGAATTCTGCTCAGGATGACACATTGCCTTGATTCAGGACCTCCAATCATTTCAGGATGAATGTGGGAGAAGTTTTTTCTCTAATGTTTTGATGTCACAATAGTCCATTTGGGTGGAGGGTCTGAAAGTCACACCTGGTTTCAAAGTGCAGGTATGATGAGAGTTTGCTAAGCCAGGCTTCTCTCAAGGTCACCTGCATCTGAAGCTGAAGAAATAGGAAGCTGTTACTACCAGTTTGGGAATGAAACTTATAGTTTGTCCAGGAAGCCCCTGTAATATTATCTTGTTCAGATTCTTTAAGCAGGATAAGGCCAGAAGTAGAAAGAGAGTTTCATTATGGAATAATCAGTGTTTGTTCTGGGCTGGCTTGGTTTTGTTTTATGTGTTTTGTTTTTTAAGGAATTTTAAAATAATGACTGAAATGGAATAATTCAGATCTGATCTGAGACAGTAACCACTTCTTATAAAATTTCATGTTTTCAGATTGGTGAATTTAATCCCCAACTGCAAAAGATTATTGACCTTTTGGATTCCATTAAAGAAAAGGTAAAATTAATTCCTGTTGACTAATGACTAATATATTCACTGTTTTCAGCTGAATTCTCTTATCTCCTTTTAAAAATGTAGGCCTGAGATGACATATGTGCTGCCTTCTTTGATGCAGGTTGGAGCAACCTTGACCAATAGAGCAGAAGTAATCTGTCACCATTTATCTCCTGAAATCGATTTATGAATAATTAGTTTCTGTTATTGGAGTGTTACAAAATAAGCCTTTAGCTGCAACACATTTTAAAACCACTTATATGAAAAAAAATCTTGTCCTTTTCAAATAAATCTAAGTGATACTCAGCTTCCTCTAAATTGTTTAGATTAAGGCAAATTCTCTTTTTAAAATATGAAAGGCAGCACTAGAGACTTCCAGCCATGATGGAGGCATAGGTAGACACAGTGTGCCTCCTCACACAACCAAAATAAGGACAACAAAAATTTAGAAACAAAAAACAACCAGTACTGACAGAAAATTGAACTGTATGGAAATCCAGCAACCAAGAATTTAAAATACACATGTTCATCCAGAATGGTAGGTGGGGTGGAGTCGGGTGGCAGGGCAGAGAGGGGTCACGGCAAAAAAAGCTGGTGGACACGAGGTACACAGGCAGCGGCTGGCAGACCCCGGGTGTGGGGTGGCAGCTTGCAAGCCCAGCAAGGCAGTGGACTGTGGTGGGGTGCAGCACACAAGGCAGCTGGTGGGCCAGGTGGTCCCACATTCGAGTGCAGATAAACCAGGTAAAACTGGGGAGCGAGACAGATCGCACAATCCAGGGCTCCAGCTCATGGAAATAAAGCCTCAAAACATCAATTGAAAAACTGTGGGGGTTGAGGTGCCAGGAGAGACTCCCAGCCTCACAGGAGAGTTAGTTGGCAAGACCTATAGGGTCCTAGAACATACACAAACCCACCCACATGGGAATCAGCACCAGAAAGGCCCAGTTTTCTTGGGGGAAGTTGTGGAAGGGACTGAAATCCAGCAGAGAGCAGAGCAAGCACCATTGTTCCCTCTCAGACTCCTCCCCCACAAATAACATTACAACCTAGCAACTGGGTTGCCCCACCTTTGGGAATACCTAAGCCTCTGCCCCTCACTAAGTAACAGGCGCGTCATCAAGACAAAAAAAATGGCCCAAAAGACAGAACAGATCAAAGCTCTGGAAAAATTAAAACTAAGCAACGAAGAGATAGCCAACCTATCAGATGCACAGTTCAAAGCACTGGTGACCAGGATGCTCACACAATTGGCTGAATTTGGTCACAAATTAGATGAAAAAATGAAGGCTATGCTAAGTGAAATAAAGGAAAATGCACAGGAAACCAATAGTGATGGGAAGAAAACTGGGACTCAAATTAATGGAATGGGCCAGAAGGAAGAAAGAAACAACCAAACAGAAAAGAATGAAGAAACAAGAATTTTAAAAAACAAGGAGAGGCTTAGGAACCTCCAGGACACCTTTAAATCTTCTGACATATGAATTATAAGGGGTACCAGAAGGGGAAGAGGAAGAGCAGCAAGTGGAAAAGTTATTTGAACAAATAATGGAGAACTTCCCCAATCTGGCAAAGGAAATAGACTTCCAGGAAGTCCAGGAAGCTCAGAGGGTCCCAAAGAAGTTGGACCCAAGGAGGAACACACCAAGGCACATCATAATTACATTAGCCAAGATTAAAATGAAGGAGAGAATCTTAAAAGCAGCAAGAGAAAAGGAGACAGTTACCTACAAAGGAGTGCCCATAGGACTGTCAGCTGATTTCTCAAAAGAGATCTTGCAGGCAAGAAGGGGCTGGAAAGAAGTATTCCAAGTCATGAAAGGCAAGGACCTACATCCCAGATTGCTCTATCCAGCAAAGCTTTCATTTAGAATGGAAGGGCAGATAAAGTGCTTCTCAGACAAGGTCAAGTTAAAGGAGTTCATCATCACCAAGCCCTTATTATATGAAATGTTGAAAGGACTTATCTAAAAAGAAGATAAAAAACATGTACAGTAAAATGATAGCAAACTCACAATTATTAACTACCACAGCTAAAACAAAAGCAAACTAAGCAAACAACTAGAACAGGAACAGAACCACAGAAATAGAAATCACATGGAGGGTTAGCAACAAGGGAGTGGGAGGAGGAGAGGGGAGGAAAAGGTACAGAGAATAAGTAGCATAGATAGTAGGTAGAAAATAGACAGGGGGACGGCAAGAATAGTATGGGAAATGTAGAAGATAAAGAACTTATGACACATGGACATGAACTAAAGAGGGGGAATGTGGGTGGGAGAGGGTATGCAGGATGGAGGGGAGTGAAGGGGGAAAATGGGACAACTGTAATAGCGTAATCAATGAAATATATTTACAAAATACAAAAGGCAGCACTAAATAATTCCATAAATTAATAAATTCCAGTGAAATTATATTTCATTGGGTGTATGTTTTTGAGGTCTCTGGAAAGTTTTCGCAATGTAATCTGTGGCATTTTCTTTTCTGCCCCAGGGTAAACAAACTCGATTCACGAATTTTGACCCATTATGTCTGCTTCCTCCATCCTGGGATTACTGGACTTACCCTGGGTCTCTTACAGTCCCACCTCTTCTTGAGAGTGTCACGTGGATCATTTTAAAAGAACCTATAAGTATCAGCTCTCAACAGGTACTTCACTTCTCCAGGATCATCTAATCCCCTAGAGGAGCGATTTTCAACCCTGTCATCTCATGACACACATAAACTAATTACTAAAATTCTGCAACACACCAAAAAATATATTTTTTTAATCTAACAAAAAAATGGGTGTAATTTTGATTTATTCCCACTGGATGGCTATTGTTGTGTTGGATGTTGTCATTTCATTATTTGACAGTCTAAGGGAAAAGAGGTCAGTGCCCCTGGCTAAGTTATCAGGTATTGCATACTTTAAAGATGTTTGTGGCATACCAGTTGAAAATCGCCCTAGAAGAAACTGGGCTGATTTTTTTTCAATTCTGCTCTAATTTCTGCTACAAGATGAAGTCTGTGCTTTCCCCTCATTAATTAAATGGGGTTGCACCAGATGAGATTTATGTCCTGTTCTTTTTTGACTTTCTGGGATTTGGTGATTTCTTCCCCACCTCTCAGAGATGCCATGTCCACGGGCACACTGGTGGAAGTGAGGCACCTCGCTGAAGGCATCATTTTTTACTTCTGCTTCCTTTTGTTTGGCCTGGGAAATAAAGGGGCTGATATAAAAGAAAAATAAGGAGAGATGCTGCTCTTAAAAGGTGGCACTCTCCTTTCGACCTGTCCCTAGACCTGCCCCTCCTACAGGTTTCACATTCAGAACAGATAGTGAGAGCAGCCACAAATGTGGGTGCCCGCTGAGTATAAGAAGAAATCTATGTGATTTTTTGCCCTTTGTTGACTGTGTGGCTGCCTCAGGAGCATTAAGCATTTACTAAGAGGTTGTGGGTGGCCCCTTGTGCTCTTCTTGTGAAAACACTTCCCCACTCACTTTTCTGGTAAGTCTGCAGCTTCAGGATGCCATTGCCCAGAGGCTCTGCTCAGGGGCTGGGAACTCTGTGGCTGACCCACCTGACAGATAGATGCTATGTATACTGGAATGCTGTGCTTAGTAGGTTTTATTTTTTTCCCTTTTGAATTATGTGCACAAAACCATAGCAAGAACATAGTATAGTAATTTTTGCAGCTAATAAAGCCCTTCTGTTTGGGGCTGGCCCATCTGCCTACCTGTCTACTTTTCCCCCAAAGGCTAGAGCTAGTTGATATTTACCAAGGGAGTGTGAGGGAATATTTCCCCTTGTGTGAGGAACACATGCAAATTCTGTTGACTTTGTCTTTAGGATAAAAGCCAAATAATACTTGGGACATACTTAATTAAAAATTTTACAAAGGTGTGGATAGAAATCCAGAGTTTGACTGACACAAAAATTCCTGTGAATTTATTCTGTTATAAAGAGAGTTGTGTAATGAGAATAATCACCTGTCAGTGAGTCAGTGGCCTTACTAATGGATTTTATTTTATCTCTGTCATGTGCCAAAGTGTTTACTTTCACAATTCATTGTTAAATTTGAAGAGTTAGAGAAATAGTAAGAGTTAAAACATTATAATATCAAGGCAGTAACAGTAAAGGGGTCATGTTTTTTTCTGATATTTCAAGGGTATCTTTATTTCTTAAAGCCATTTGGAAAATAGCTTTTTAAAAACCTACATGGGATTTGAAAGAGATATATCAAAATATATATTTGTCTCTTAAAAGGCATAAAGTTAACCTAATCAAGAGTAACTTTTTGCAAGTTTTGAAATTATGGTTGCCTGGCTGTGGATTTACTACTGTATCTTTTTTGAGGCTCAATTAGTTAATGTTAATTATTAATTTGTTTTTTGTACAATACAGTACATAAAATAATAGCTGAATTTTAGCACTTTAGTGTGATTGATAATTCACTTTCAAGCATTCACTTAAACCTGCAGTAGCAGAAACACTTTCAGACATTTTTATTTGTAACTAGATTAAAATGATTATCTGAGTAATAATCCAAATTACTACAATGTAATGTTATAGTGATTTTAAGACAAGAATAAAGGAAAAGATAAAACAATATAAGAATAAAGGATTGAAATTTTAAAAGTTCAGCCCTGGCTGGCGTAGCTCAGTGGATTGAGCGCGGGCTGGGAACCAAAGTGTCCCAGGTTCGATTCCCAGCCAGGGTACATCCCTGGGTTGCAGGTCAGAACCCCCAGCAACCGCACATTGATGTTTCTCTCCCTCTCCCTCTGTCTCTCTCTCTCTCTCTCTCTCTCTCTCTCTCTCTCTCTCTCTCTCTCTTTCCTCCTCCCTTCCCTCTCTAAAAATAAATAAATAAAATCTTTAAAAAAAAAAGAAATTTTAAAAGTTCAATCCCAGTCTTAACCATGAGAAAAACATCAGGCAAAACCCAAGTAAGGAACATTCTGCAAAACTGTCAATATTACCAGAAAACAAGGGAGGTCTGAGAAATCATCATAATAAAGAAATGTTCAAGGAGACATGGCTACTAAGTGTAATGCTATTTCCTGGTGGGATCCTGGAGCAGAGAAAGACATTAGGTACAAACAAAGGAAATCTGAATAAAGGATGAATTTAGTAGTTAAGGATAGGATTAATATTGGTTCATTAATTTTGAAAATGTAACATACTAATAAAAAATGGTAAAAATAGAATAAATTGTGAGGTATACGAGAAACCTTTGTACTATCTTTGCAATAATTATGTAAACCTAAAACTGTTATAAAAATACATTTAAAAATCCAAAACACAAGAGGGTTGATAAGATTATTCAGTTGCCAGTCTCTTTTATATAAAATAAAATGAAAATGTCTTTTGTGCATGCCACTGACCTAAGAAGTACTTTTCAGAACATGACTTTTAGTCTTGATAATGGCAGCTCTTTATTTTTGAAGTTGATGGAAAATGTCATTTTTTAATTTTTTAAAAGATTTTCTTTATTTATTTTGAGAGAGAGGGGAAAGAATGGAGAAAGAGAGGGAGAGAAGCATCAGTGTGTGGTTGCCTCTCACATACCCCCTACTGGGGACCTAGTCCACAACCCAGGCATGTGCCCTGATTGAGAATCGAACCAGCAACCCTTTGCTTTGTAGGATGGCACTCAATCCACTGAGCCACACCAACCAGGCCATTTTTAAAATTTTTTAATCCAACCATAAATTCACTTTCTAGTAAGTTGGTGCCAGTTTTTTTCCCATTGCTCTTTTTTGTCAAGCCACTGTTTGACCTAAAGGGCAGATTCTATTGTTTTTCTTTTTCTTGATTTAAGTCCACTTTTCTCCCCAGAAATGCTTGATTGAAATGCTTGATTTAACTGCCAGGTCAGGAAACAGGTACTCTGTTTTCTGACACTTTGGGTAACAGACCTGTCATTCTCTTTGGCAGGCTAACTTTTCTTGCCAAGTGTCTTTGGGGTTATCCTAAATTATCTACTTTGGCTTATTCATTTGCTGAAACTCAATGTGTAAGATACTTGGCTTTAATTCTAGGTTTCTTTGTTAAAATTCTTTTTTTTGGTGTGATATTATTTGCATATAACAACATTCATGAATTTCAGTGTGCAGTTCATGGTTGTGGTTATTGTATATTACTATGCAATAAAGCAACCACTACCACTACAATCAAGATAAAGAATACATCCCTGGGCAAGAGGGTTTCCTCATACCCCTTTGCATTCCATTCACCCATGGCCTTGGGACACCACTGAGATACTGTCACTAGAATTTTACTCAAATAGAGTCATACAGATATACACTTCTGTGTTTATTTCTTTTGCTCAGTATAGTGTTTTAAAGATTCACCCAATTTATTTATTTTTGTTACTAATATTCTATAGTATGAATATTATAATAACTCTTTTAAAAAATCTGTTTACCAATTGATGAATATTATGGTAACTTTTAGTTTGGAGATGTTATGAATGTAGCTATCCATATTTATATGTTAGGAATAATTGATATACACACTTCTGTGAACACATTTTTATGTCTTCTGGCAATACCTAGGACTGTCATTACTGGATAAACTCATGTTTGATGTTATAAGGCACTGCCATATTGTCTTCTTTTTTCCCAAAGACATTTTTCTATTGTTTAATTACAGTTGTCCCCATTTTACCCGATTACTTTCCCCCACCCAACCCACCCACACCTTCCACATTCAGTCTCCTCTGTCCTTATTTTTATTGTCCATGGGTCCTTTATACATGTTCCTTGATGACCCTTTCCCTTCTTTCCCTTGTAATTCCCCTTCCCCAACTCCTGGTTACTGTCAGGTTGTTCTTTATTTCCAAGTCTCCAGTTCTATTTTGCTTGCTTGTTTGTTTTGTTGATTAGGTTCCACTTACAGGTGAGATTATATGATATTTGTCTTTCAGCGCCTTTCTTTTTTCACTTAGCGTAATGCTATCCAGTTCCATCCATGATGTTGAGAAGGGTAGGACTCCTTTCTTTCTAATTCATAGTATTCTATTGTGTAAATGTACCAGAGTTCTTTGATCCATTTATTTACTAATGGGCACTTAGGATTCTTCCAAAACTTGACTATTGTAAGTTGAGCTGCTTTGAACAATGGGGTCCATAGGTCCTTTTGAATTGGTGTTTCAGGATTCTTAGGTTATAATCCCAGCAGTAGAATTGCTGGGTCAAAAGGCAGTTACATCTTTGATTTTTTTAGGAAATTCCATACTGTTTTTCACAGTGGCTGCACCAGTCTGCATTCCCACCAACAGTGCACTAGGATTCCCTTTTCTGCACATCCTTTCCAACACTTGTTTCTTGATATATTTTTGATGGCCATTTTGACTGCTGTGAAGTGGTATCTCATTGTGGTTTTAATTTTTATCTCTCTAATGGCTTCTGATACTGAGCATCCTTTCATATGCCCCTGGGCCCTCTGTATGTCCTCCTTGGAGAAGTGTTTGTTAAAGTCCTTTGCCATTTTTTAATTGGACTGTTTGTCTTCCTGGTGTGGAGTCATGTGAGTTCTTTATATGTTTTGGAGATCAAACCCTTGTCTCAGGTATCACTGGCAAATACATTTTCTCATACAGTTGGTTCCCTTTTTATTTTGCTGATTTTTTCTTTAGCCATTCAGAAGCTTTTTAATTTG